AAAACAAAAAAGTTAGAGGGTTGGTGAGATGGCTTAGTGGGCAAAGGCACTTGCTGCCAAGCCTTACAACCTGAGTTCACTCTCCAGGACCCACATGGTAGAAGGAGAGAACTGCCTCTATATGAACCCACACACAACAAGCACATACACAAAAAATAAATGCAATACAATTTTCTTTGTTTTGTTGAGACAGAGTTTCTCTGTATAACAGCCCTGTTGTCCAGGAATTCACTCTGTAGACCAGACTGACATCAAACTCAACTCACAGATATCCACCCCCCCACACCTTTTTTTTTTTTTTTTTTGGTGTTTTGAGATGGGGTTTCTCTGTAGCTTTGGAGGCTGGGACTTCACTCTGTAGCCCAGGCTGGCCTCACACTCACAGAGATCTGCCTGCCTCTGCCTCCCAAGCACTGGGATTAAAGGAGTGTGCCACCACTGCCCAGCTGTAACACAATTTTTTAACAGATGCCTCAAAGCCATACAATTACAGTGCTGTGTGGTCTGGGAGAGGGGTTATGGCTCTCAGCACAGCCAGCAGAAAGTTTCATGGAGTTTCGATTTCCTGCCCCTTCTGAGATTCAACCCCTGGCACTGGACATTCCTGAAAAGTACTCAATGAAGTTACATCTCCAGCCTGTGGAGGTGATTTTTCAATCAGGACAGGTACACACTTCTAGTCCCAGCTATTTGAGCTGAGACTAAGGCAGAAGGATCACTGGAGTCCAAGAATTTCAGGCCAGGCTAGGCAACACAGAGAAAGCTACTCGGAACCAGGAAAGCTTTGACAACAGGGGCCTGCCTGTACAGTCCCTCTGCCGCCCCATGCCTGCTAGCCTTCTGAAGGTGAGTGGCACCTGCCCAGCCTAGCAAGCGGTGTCGAGGGCCAGTGTTTGATCAGCCTGATGCCAAACAGGCCAAGGTAAGAAGAAACAGAACTCAGACAAGTGACAGGTAAAGGGACAGGGCACAGACTCTGTTTATTGAGTGGTAGGCACAGGAGAGGTAGCTGGCTCCAGTGTGGAAGCAGAGGCGGCAGGTCATGCCAGGGCACTGTAGCCATCTGGCAGCCTGGGGGCCTTGTCCCTATCTTAGGGGAATGGCACAAGCTCACTACAGTAGGAGCAGCAAGGAGCTGGCCAGAGGAGAGAAGCAGCCACAGTCCCCTGGCATCCTGGGCAAGAAGCAGCAGATGTACTTGGCACAGGGGCTGGGGATAAGAGGAGCTGGGGCCTAGGTGCTCTAAGGGGAGTAAAAGGAGATCATGTCTGTGGTGTGGAATAGAGGCTGTGGTGGTGGCCACCAGGTCCTGGCACCTGGGAGAAGAGCAGAGGAGTGGTCCTCGTCTGGCTGGCCCCGCCCCAGCCTGGCTCACGCCCGATGGCACCATACCAGCTGCCAGAGCCCAGGCTGCCGGACATGCTGCAGGCAGAGAAGCAAGGTAAGTCCCAGGAGTCCCAGGTAGTGCCCAGGGTCACATTCATGAGATGGGGGAGCAGAGAGGCTGAAAACAGAGAGCCCTAGATCAAAGGGCAAACTGTTTCTTGGGGCAGGGGCATTTAGCACTAGGAACCCAGAGGGGGCTTCACTCAGAACAAATGAGGAAACAAGGCCTGGCTCTTGGTCCCCATTGCCTCATGGAGACAGGCAGGACCCTAAGGGCTCTCGGGCAGGGTTGGAGGCTCCTACCTGGTGCTCTCACTCCGGCTATGCTCCCAGGAGCAGCCCTCATCCTCACAGTGCCCAGCCCGGTCAAAGAAGTAGGAACGGGAGCCAAAAACCTGCCCATTGAGGATTCGACTGGTGGTCTGTAAGTGTGGGAGGAGAAGTTACTACAATGGATTTCCCCCCATAACTGTCATAGGACTCCAGGCTAGAATTCCCAGGGTCCAGCCCTCTCCACTGGACCTAGAGGTAGTTGGGGGCCCTACCAGGTCCTGTGGGGGCCGGTGTACCCTGAAGAAGCCCACCAGCAGTGTGGTGGGCAGCAATTCCCACACGAAGAGGATGAGGCCAAACACCAGGTAGCCCTTGTTCCCTAGGTCATTCACCAGGTCTGCCTGGGGAAAAGCAGAGGCTGAGGACAGTCTGCCACCACACAGACCATGCTGGCAGGGCCCTGGCCAGCTGGAGGCTAGATACTATGGTTACTAAAAAAGGGACAAACATGACCAATGCCTACCTGGTCAGATACGTTGTACCAGTCATAATCAAAGGCATCTAGCCGGCTCCGAGGAGCCAAGGCCAGAGCTGCCAGGTTGTAACAGGCCCGGCTGGCATAGAGCAGAACCATGGCACCCCCTATGGCAGCTGCCTGGCACACGCTGGTCCCCTGGTAGAGATGACAATAGAGGGTCTTCAGGGAAAGGTGGCTTCCATCTTCCTTTACATCCTAAAGACCTCTGCCCAAAGATCCCCAAGGATACTACATCAGGGTTGGTGGCCCTACCTTAGCCTCTAAGTAGATGCTAGTGGAAGGGGCTCGCCGGGCGACGAGACAGAGGCAGGCAGCAAGCGAGAGGGCACAGATGACGAAGAGGGAGTCGCTCACCAGGACACGCACCAGCAGAAGGACCCAGGGCTGTGCCCGGCGCTGGCGGGACAGCACTGCACACAGTACATTCACCAGCAAAAAGAGCAGTGAAGCGCCCACGAAGGCCCCTCGGACAGCCAGCCTGCAGCCCACAGCAAAGTCAGCTCCAGACCATGAATTTCCTTGGCCCTCACCAACCACCCTGACTCCTCAGAAGACCCCAGAGTCAACCAGAACTCAGATGGTCCCATCCAAACTCTGCTTGTCTAGTTTTTGCACATGAGGGAACTGAGACTCAAAGAGGTGAGGTGATTGGAAGCTATGGCATTGTAGAAAGAGCACCATGGGGTGTCAAACATCTGGATCTGAGCATTGACTGGGTCTCCTTCCAGCTGTGTGACCTTGAATACATTGCTTTATTATCTAAATGGGCCTCAGTTTCGTCTCTCAAATGAGACTAAGAATAGTATTTCAGGTGAGATGTGGAAAGATGGAAAGGACAGGGGCAGTGCAGCCAAGGTCACTAGAAGTGCAGCAGGACTTTACATATCCCATGGATTGGAGCTTCTATCTTTTCCCACCATGGATGATGAAGGTGCTCTCTCCCCCTGACACCATCACAGCTGTCTGCACCAGGTGCTTTAGTTTTCCCAAGCTCTATCCCAATTGTTCCTGGAGTTCTTCTTGTCTCAACCCTGCTGGGTGGGCTCCTCCCTTCCACTGACCCATTAACATCTCCAGTACTTACAAGCCTCGGCTCATCTCTGGCCGACGCTTCGCCTTGGCCTTGAACACAACCTGGGAGCAGAGACACCCATCACTCCTTTGGACCCTTGGGCTTACCCTCCTACTCCCACCACACCAGTTCCCGTGGTTACCTGGGCAAAGTAGAGGTTCATAAGCGTCAGTGTGAAGAACTGCAGGCAGACAGGGCAGCAATAGAGAAGCCAAAAAGGCAAGGGCCCCAGGCGGTTGGCCCTGGAAGTATCTCGGAAGTAGAAGGAGAAGAGTGTGGTACGCAAGGCTGCCCAGAGCAGACAGAGTGCCAGGAACACCGTCTGATAGCTGAGGCGCTTGTGCCCATACAGAAGCACCAGCCAGAGCTGGGCATAGACAGAGAAGAAGAGCAGAGCGTATAGGGCAGTGTAGGCAGCGGTCAGGCCCAGGGTCACTGTAGGCGGTAGTGCAGGCACCAGCCCGGCTGCAGGCACCAGGCCAGATAGGTTACTCTCCATGTCAAAGAAGGAGGCCTGAAACCAGGAGACAGAGATGGAGAGCTGGCCAGAAGCCAGGGAAATAAATACGGAGGGGTGCGAACTGCAGGAGGCGTGAGAGCTGAGGACTCTAAAGAAAAGAAGTTGGGGTAGCCAGGCCTTTCCTCCTCAACAGAGATGGAGGGGGTAGGGGGCAGGGATGGGCATGGGTAACCTGGGCCCTGGACCCCTCACTCTGGAGTGTGTAAGGGTGCTCTTTCCTACCCAGGGCAAATGGAGTTGGGGGTGGGGGTGTCGCTCCCTGGGTCAGCCCCAGAGCCAAGATGGGAGGATGCAGTGGTACAGAAAGTCCCTGGCCTTGGTCGCTCGTGTCCGGAAGGCAGGAGGGGGAGAGCCGGCCGATGCCCGTCAGCTTAGGACAGCGGCCGCTGCGGGGGCGCCCAACGCCCCGCTCTCCCCCTCCCCACGCTTGGTGGCTCTTTCCCCTCCAATAATCCGGATTGGGGGGCTTCTTCCTCTGTCCTCAAGATTCCAGACGTTGTTCCCCCACCGCGTCCACCCTCAGCCCTGGTGAATAAGAGGAAGTCGATGTCAGGTCCTCAGGCCGCTGCTGGGGAAGCGGGATCCGGTCGCCGGGACACCGGGCTCCAGCTCCCCGGCTCCCGCTGCTCCGCCCCACTCCTGCGCCTGCGCGAGTGTCCGTTCGCCACGCAAACTGCGTAGCAGCCGATGGGGATTCCGAGGCCGTGCGCCGCGCCCGGCGTGCAGATCTTGGAGAATCGGCGCAAGGTGCGCTGCCGGCGGGCGTCCGGGGTTACAGATGGCGACGGGCGGCCAAGAGGCGGAGACAAGGCCTCACGCAGCAAGCACCCGGGTTACCCGTGCCCTGACCGCCAACTCTTAATGTTTGGGGGACCACTATTTCCCACGCTTAGATCCCTAAGCCCACATCGGGATCGGCGAGCCCATATGGGGGCGGCAACGACGTCCGCGCACAGGGTAGCTGAAGGAAACTTCCGCCCACAACCAAGATGGCACCCAGCCCCGCCCCCTAGCTTCTATCCGCAGGGCCGGCGCTCCGGCCTGTGGCCTCTTGTGCACACCTTTCCTAGGAGCCGAGCCCCTGAGAGCCCCACGGCTCGCCCTCCTAGGTGCCCTTGTCCCTTCTCCCGCACCCGACGGCCATCCTGCCTGGAAGGAGCTCCCGAGATGGCGCGGTGGGTAGTCCCCAAATCGGGCAGCGCGAGGCCTCCACGACAGGGAGGAGCAAGGAGCTGGCCTCTCCATCCCGGTCACTCAGTCCAGGGAGAGCAATAACTATCACAAAAATAATTGCACCTGACGGCCGAGCTTCAATGAACCGCTCTACAAACGCTTTCGCCCTTAGTAATCACTGAGCTGTTTACAGAGTTTTCACCAGCTCCCCAGGGAGGTGTCATTAGCCCCATTTTACAGGCGGGAATTCGGGGCCAGAGGGGCTGGAGGACTTATCAGCCGAAGCAGGCCTCCAGGATCCAAATGGGAACCCCAAAGCAGCCCTCGCTGGCTCCTGCACACGCCCTAGGCGTGAGGAAGTCCGATCCCGGAATCCGGAGCCTGGGGAACGACGCAGGAGGAAGGCGGCGGAGACCAGCAGGTCGACGGCAGGGGTGGGACCTGGCTTGGGAAGGTCCCGCCTCCAGGCCGACCCGGGATTTACTTCGAGAACTGATTGGGTCAGATCTGTGACAGTTCCCGTCGCCCAGGAAACTAGGACCGGGCGCCTTTAGAACTAGAGGGAGGAGGCAGGCCCGGGTCAGGGGCCTCGAGATCGGGCTTGGGGTGAGACCTATTCGCGGTCATAACGGGCAAGTGGGACGCACCAGGACCTGTACAGAGCCCCGAAGAGAGATTTAGTATCCCGGGGACAGCCTGTGTTCCCTACCAGGCCGGACCCAGCAGACAAATGAAGGCTTGGGAAAACCAGTGGGCTCTGTCTGTGTGTGTGTGTGTGTGTGTGTGTGTTCTAGCAGTGCCCTGAGTGTGTGTGTGTGTGTGTGTGTTCTAGCAGTGCCCTGAGTGTGTGTGTGTGTGTGTGTGTTCTAGCAGTGCCCTGAGTGTGTGTGTGTGTGTGTGTGTTCTAGCAGTGCCCTGAGTGTGTGTGTGTGTGTGTGTGTTCTAGCAGTGCCCTGAGTGTGTGTGTGTGTGTGTGTGTTCTAGCAGTGCCCTGAGTGTGTGTGTGTGTGTGTGTGTTCTAGCAGTGCCCTGAGTGTGTGTGTGTGTGTGTGTGTTCTAGCAGTGCCCTGAGTACTTACTTCTTACTTTGTCTCTACAGCCCAGAGTATGTTCCAGATCCCAGAGTTTGAGCCCAGTGAGCAGGAAGACTCCAATACTGCAGAAAGGGGCCTGGGCCCTAGCCTCACTGGGGACCAGCCAGGTCCCTGCCTGGCCCCAGGTCTCCTGGGGAGCATCAGACACCAACAGGAACAGGCAGCCAACAGCAGTCATCATGGAGGTAGGTTTCCCACCTCCATCATCTGCCTGTCCCTTGTCCCTCGGTCAGTTACCCCTTACATCCCTGTTGCAGCCATACTGCCTGACAACTCTGGGGGGAGTCCCAGATAGCTCTGAGCCTCTAATTGCCTCTCCTACAAACCAGCTGCCGCTCCCTCTGTAAGACCACTCACTGGGTTAATTCTCAGAGAATGTATGGCATACCCTTAATGATCAAGCTGCTTCACTGAATGCTCAAAACCGACTCTCTTATTATGGCCCCAGGATAGACATCAGTGAGGGGATAGCAGATCCCCAAAGAGGAAGTGGCTTTCCTAAGGACACCCTAAGAGGCGGTGCTGGGAAACTCCTCAGTTCTTGGGTACCCGTTCTTCCTGGGCTAGTGCATTCTAGTGGCTAGTAGGTTCTTGGTTTGTCCTTCCTTCCTTCTTTCCTTTCCTTTTCTCTTTCTTTCTTTTGTTTTTTCAAGACAAGGATGTCTCTTTGTAGCCCTGGCTGTCCTAGAACTTGCTCTGTAGACCAGGCTGTCCTGGAACTTGGAGATCCATCTGCCTCTGTCTCCCAAGTGCTGGGATTAAAAGTGTGTGCTACCACCATCCAGCCAATAGGTTCTTTCTTACCCCATGGATCACCCACAGCAAGACTGTCCTTGTGCCAATGGGACAGGCAGGTGACCCAAGTGGCAAAGAGAAGATCGGTATGAGGGTTAGAGGGTGTAAGTGCCAAAATGGAAGGAGAGGCATTGGAAGATACTGGTTATCTCTCAGTACTATCCACTCCCCAGGGGTGAGGTATGTCACTGGCTTGTTAGAGCTTAAATGACCCCCACCTTCTTTTTGAGACAAGGCTTCATGTATCCCAGAGCTGCCTCATACTTGCTTTACAATTGAGACTAGCCTTGAACTTCTAATCCTCCTGCTTCTACCTCCCAAGTACTGGGTTCACAGGTGGGCCAACATGGCTGGCATTTTGGTGTTTTTTTTTTTTTTTTTTTTTTGTATTTCGAGACAGGGTTTCTCTGTATTGTTTTTGGAGCCTATACTGGAACTCACTCTGTAGACTAGGCTGGCCTTGAACTCACAGAGATCCACCTGCCTCTGCCTCCCGAGTGCTGGGATTAAAGGTGTGCACCACCAACACCCGGCCGTTTTATACTTTTTAAAAATTATATGTATATGTATGCCTATGTGTGTAAGTGCAGGTGCCTTGGAGTACAGAAGAGAGTGTTGAATCCCCTAGAGCTGTTGTAGGTGGTGGTTATGAGCTGCCCACGTGGTTGCTGGGAATTGAACTCATATCCTCTGCAAAAGCAGTAAATGCTCTGAGCCATCTTTCCACCTCACCACACTTTTTAGCTTTCAGATTTCTTGCTTGCTCTTTTTCTACTCCTAGCTCCTGTCCATTCTTTGCCCTTACCTGGCTGTCTCTTGTCATCCTATTCATCCATGTCCTAGAGCTGTGGGGCAAACCACAACAGAGGATCCATAAGAAGATTATGCAGTGCTCAGGAGATGATGTATGTTGTAGGTAGAGAGCAGAGTCCCAGAGCTATATGAGTGATTTACTGAGGTTGCCAGTCTTGCCTTAAGAGGGAGCAACCGTATAAGGTAAGGCTGAGAGTTAGCTGTTCTGATGCCCGTGTTTCAGGCAAAGAGAAGAGGAAGTTAGGAAATGCTAGGACAAGAATTGCTCCTGAGTAGCAGGGCCCCAAGTGGGGAAAGGTAAAGAAGAGAAGTAGAGCCCTATCCAATTCAGTCTGTCCAGGTCTTTGAAGGATATTGTAAGAAAAACTTTAACTGGAATCCTGGGAAGATTGTTTTTTCCTTCTTACTGTGCTGGGGCTGGAATCCAGGGCCACTGCACGTGCTGAGCAAGTGCCTTTCTACTGAGCCACATCCCCAGGCCTAGGTCTATAATGAAGACAGTGACAGCCTGGGAGTGGGGTGGGGAGGAAAGAGGCTTGAAAATTTCCTTGAAAATTGGAAGAAAGAGAGATGGGGCAAGGTCAGGCATCAGGTAGGAACTTTTAGGCATGTAGGTGGGATTCCAGAAGGCTGCTGGTAGGAGCAGCAGGGAGTTGATCTGGGTAGGGTTTGTAACAGACAGGCAGGAGTAGGTGCTAGAGGGTATATGCAAAGAGGAAATAGTGCTTGTGGGGTGAGCTGGCCCAGTTGCAAGGAGAGGAGCTGCCTTGGTTTTTATACCTACACCAAGGGAGTGCTCCAACAGGAAGGAGGTGGCAATTGACTGGCATCGTGCTAGTGTGGAGTCATTTGATAAATGACAGGGTCTAGGTTATGCCAGTGGAATGAGAGACTGGGAGGAGGGATGGACACTGTCATGGGAGGAGAGGGAGGAACAGGGAGATCAGGAGGACCACTCAGGTTCAATAAACTCAGAGTAGGAAAAAGGACTGGCAGAGACGCAGAGTATTTTGTGTCCAAGATGGGCAAAATTCACTGAGGTTGGGCAGTAACAGGCTCTGAACCCTGATTTAGGGAGGGGAGTGAAAGCATGGCCTGCAAGCATGGGAAGGAGCCAAAAGAGATGAACCCAGCTCAGTTCATGTACCAGGCAGTTTCTAAGCCTTGTTCACATGAACTCAGGTACCCTTATTGTAGCCCTATAAAGTAGGAACAGGTCTATTCCCATTTTACAGATTGGGAAATTCAGGCAAAAGCAGTTAACCTTTCAATCAGCACCCAAAGGGCCCTCCTCAGATGTTGTACTCTGGTCCAGAAGCCAGTATTGGCTGCTTCTCCCATTTTATGGTACCATGGAGGTCTGTGTCTTACTACTACTATATTTGTGCTAACCATTATTGTGAGTTGGCTCAGGCTCTGCACACCTGGATTTCCATCAATAGCAAGGGCATTGAACATCCAGTGTTCTTGGATGGCAAATGAGGTATAGGTTAGATTCAGGATAGAAGTGACTTGAAGGCATCCTTCAATACAGCCATTCAAAGTTTAAGATAGATGTAGTTGGGTTTTAGAGCAAGGATTGGGAAACCGTATACACAGGCTAAATCCCTGTGGTTCTGCACTGCTCCTGAGCTAGGAATATTTTTGTTGTTGTGTTTCGAGGTTTTTGTTTGTTTGTTTTTTGGAGCCTATCCAGGCATTCGCTCTGGAGACCAGGCTGGTCTTGAACTCACAGAGAACCGCCTGCCTCTGCCTCCCGAGTGCTGGGATTAAAAGCGTGGGACACCAACGCCTGGCTGTGTTTCGAGGTTTTAGGGTCAGAATTCAGGGCCTCCAGGTTAGTAGGCAAACACTCTATCACTGAACCACATCCCCAGCTTTTGTTACATTTGTTGAGACAAAAATCTCACCATGTTGCCCAGGCTGGCCTCAAACTCCTGGGGTTAAGCAACCCTGCTGCCTCAGACAGCCAACTAGCAAGTAGCTGGGACTTCAGGCTTGCACCACCTCCAGGAACAGTTCTTTATTTTGTCTTTTCAAGGCAAGACTGAGTAGCCCTGGCTGGCCTTGAACTCAATCGTCTGTCCTTGATCTGTTTCTACCTCCCAAGGGCTTGGATTAAAGGAATGTGTTAATTCCTCTGGAAACAGTTTTTATCTATTGAAATGGTTGCTTGACAAAATCCAGGGAGCTCTAGCAATCCTGAAACTCACTCTTGTAGACCAGGGTGTCCTTGAATTTACAGAGATCCACCTGACTCTGCCTCCTATGATTAAATTACCACCGCCCTGTTTTTTGGTGGTTTTTTTTTTTAGCAAATATTTTATTGTGGCAGGTAAAAATCATATGAAATTTGTATTTCAGTGTTACTGAGTAAAGTGGTGGTGGACACAGCAGTGTTTTGGGGGACATTTTGTTGATGACTCCGGCTATGAGCAAACTGGGCTGTTGTTATAGAGGCCATGACAGAACACTTGGCCAGAGCAGGGCCAGGTGAGGCTCCAGGCTGGAACTCTAAAATGCCTTTCCTTAAGGCTACAGCACAAGTCTGGGCAGGCCACTAAGGAGACAAAGGAGGCACAGTGGCCTGCCCTGCCTGAGGGCAGAGCCTTACTGTGCTTGGAAGGGTATAGGACACTACTGTTTCTGCCCTACCCCAGCCATGTTTTTTTTTTTTTTTTTTTTTTTTTTTTTTTTGTGTGTGTGTGTGTGTGTGTGTGTGTAGGTCAGAAGATAATTTTTAGGAGTTGGTGTGGGTCTCAGGAATTGAACGTAAGTAATCAGGCTTGGTGGTGAGCACCTTTTCCTGTTTGTCACCCCCTCGGCACTCCTACCAGTTTTAATGGATATGTCAGGATGTTTCTTGAACTGTGAATTTTCCCATTCAGCCACACCCACTTACCCGTCTCTTCCCCTTCCCCCACCCCCAGTCTGTCTGGGAGGGTAGCATAAATCTACAGGACTGAGCATCCACCCAGAGAGGAGCCACCCTTCCCTTCCCCTGAGGGATTGAACACACCCCACCCACCCTCTTTATCCAAGGAGTTCACAGAATCTCCAGGTTCCTTCCAGTAAATGCAAAGATATTTCTAAAAATTCCATTCAGGGGCGGGAGATGCAGCTCAGTCTGTAGAGTACCGACCTAGTATGCGAGCAGCCTTAGCTTCCAGTCTCAGCACCGCATAAACTACTGTTGGGAGGTGGGAGCAGAGGGCCAGAAGTTTAAGGCCAGCATTTCAGCTACTTGAGACCCTATCTCATCAATCAATAAAGTCTCTTGCCACAAATGGGTGCCATTTTGTTGCTGAGGTGCTTGGCATTGCTAAGTACCTTTAGTGACTGACAAGCCTCATGCCACAGAATAGGCTCTTGGCATACTGACACTAGTGGGGAAGGAAGAAAATGACTTCTCCAAATTGGGTTACTGTGGTACTGTTAGGTGAGGCGGGTAGCACAATGAGATGAACACAGACCTTGGACTCAGACTGGCTGTGTTTGCATCAGTCTTTTGTCACTTACTGTGTGACCTTGGGTAGGTTGCACACTCTGTGTGTGTCTTAGTTTCATTCCCTGTAAATTGGGGAATTTCCCTAATCATATGAGTTGAGAACTAAATTAATCAATACAAAGAAAGCTTCCAGCCTGACCTGCTCAGTGTCCTGCTTGATTGTATGAGTTTTTTTTTTGTGAGGTGCTATGGATGGAACCCAGATGGAACCCAGAGCCTTGCACATGCTAAGCAATGATTTTTTTTTAAGATTTATTTATTTATTTATTATGTACAGTTTTCTCTGTCTGCATGTATCCTTGCAGGCCAGAAGAGGGCTTGATTGTATGAGTTTTTCTTTTGTGAGGTGCTATGGATGGAACCCAGAGCCTTGCACATGCTAAGCAATGACTTGATTGTATGAGTTTTTCTTTTGTGAGGTGCTATGGATGGAACCCAGATGGAACCCAGAGCCTTGCACATGCTAAGCAATGATTTTTTTTTTAAGATTTATTTATTTATTTATTATGTACAGTTTTCTCTGTCTGCATGTATCCTTGCAGGCCAGAAGAGGGCACCAGATTTCATAACAGATGGTTGTGAGCCACCGTGTGGTTGCTGGGAATTGAACTCAGGACCTCTGGAAGAGCAGTCAGTGCTCTTAACCTCTGAGCCATCTCTCCAGCCCCTAAGCAAGGATTTAACCCTGCTCATGAAAGCAGATTTGTTGGGAGAAGGAGCACATGTGCCATAGTGCCCAAGTGCTGTTGCAGGTCAGAGGACAGTATGTGGAGGTCATTTTCTTTTTCTCTTTTTTTGTTTGTTTTGTTTTTCGAGACTGGGTTTCTCTGTATTGCTTTGGAGCCTGTCCTGGCACTCTGAATACCAGGCTGGCTTTGAACTCACAGAGATCCACCTGCCTCTGCCTCCCTAGTGCTGGGATTTAAGGCATGTGCCATCAACGCCTGGCTGTGGAGGTCGTTTTCTCCTTCCCACTTTAAATAGATTCCAAGGTTCCCACTCAGGTCTTCAGGCTTATACTGGAAGCTTTACTGGCTGAGCAGTCTCACCAGCCCTTAGTGAAGGGGGTGGTGATGTCACTGAGCTCCCACCAAGGCCACCTGAAAGTCATTCACCTTCCTGCCAGCATAGCACCTGAAAGCTGTGGTTCTAGGGCGTGGGTCCATTATTCAATGCAGATAGGGTGTACCACCAGGAGACTCAGGCATATTCCTTTCAGCTTCTGGCTCTCTTCTCTGTAAGGTGGGAGAACTCTACATCTGCCATACAGGAGCCAAAAAACCATGGCTGCTCACAGGACAAGGTGGAGTGCTTTCCTGCCTTATCTGTTCTCATGATGATTCTGTGAGGCAGGCTGTCCCCATGCCACAAAGACCACTGAGGTGCCAGGGAATTGGGGAAGTGGGTTCACGGTCACAAAAGGGGACCTACCTAGCTGCTGAGTAGTCCCCTGTAATACTCTGTAGATGAGCAATGGTATGTTCTGGCCAGGTGCTGTGAGCAGTCCCAGGCCAGGCCTTTCATGATGGTTCCGTCCTTCCCTCTGGCTTTCTGTTACATGTCTGCAGCTGGGATCCTCAGGCCTCAAGCTGAGCTGCAGAGTTCTGCCCATTGACCTTTGAGAAAGGGAGGCAAACTTTTCAGCCCCCAAACCTGGGGGTGATTTTACCTCCTCCCAAGTTTTCCCTGCAGACACCTGGGTGTGGGCAGCAGGCTGTGCCTAGCTATGGACTCTGCCCCTGGGAGTAGTTCTGGGTCTTCACTGGTCTGGGCAAAGGGGTACAGATGACAGAGGTCAGGACACAGTATCTAGATCAGAGAAGCAGATCACTCAATTCATTGGCAGCTCACAGGGCATGGCTACACTTGCATGAGAACTTCACACTGGTGCATTAGTATGCAGGGTAGGAAGACTCCTTCATGAAGGGAAACTAACTTGGAATTGAAGGGTGGCTGGTCAAGGCAGGAGTTGCACAGCCTGATGATGGACTCTGGGATCCAAACCCAGGGACTTCGGACCTCAGGGCTAGCAGCCTTGTCAACCTGAGAAAACTGACTTCTCTGAACACCTGTGTAGCTATTATCTCCCTCCCATCCCCCCATTTGTGAGAAAAGAAAGACTACATGTTCTCCTGTAGTAGAATGTGGCCTTGAACTCAACCTCCGGCTTCCACCTCACCAGTGCTGGTATTATAAATATGAACCACCACGCCCAGGACAAACTTCTATGTCGATCTGTAGAACCAGGTGGTGAGGATAGTCTCAGAAAAATAAAACAAAACAAAGAAACCCACAGTTCTAGACATTGTCGCCACAAAATATGGAATGTAGAGACTTCTTGTTCTCCAAGACCCTTGCAAAGACTAAGCAGGACTCCTCCCTAGTTAGGAGTTGCTATGTGATAGTTATCTCTTATGCCCCTATTTTGGAAAGGCACAGTAGAAAGTCTTTTGTACACTAAAGGCGTACTGGCACTCTGAGCTCCCTCCATTTGCAAAGGAGGAATTGGGACTATTGGAAGGCGAGTGTGAACAGCGGGTCGAGATTCACACCTCTTCCACCCCATCCCTGCAGGCACTGGGGCTATGGAGATCCGGAGTCGCCACAGTTCATACACCGCGGGGAACGAGGAGGATGACGGGATGGAGGAGGAGCTCAGCCCATTTCGCGGCCGCTCACGTTCGGCTCCCCCTAATCTCTGGGCTGCGCAGCGCTACGGCCGCGAGCTCCGAAGGATGAGCGATGAGTTTGAGGGTTCCTTCAAGGTGAGCGCCTGCGTAGGGTGCGACGGGACCTACACCCGCTTGCCCCGTCTGCTATCTATGGCGTTTCGGGATTTGTAGTTCCAGAACCACCAGGTTGTCCCTTTCGTGTTCCAGGGCATGCCGGGACTTGCAGTTCTAATCCGCCCCCTGTCGTGAAACCTCTGGCTCTGAGGTTTCACTTAGGGTCCCAGCAGTCTCTGGGCTCCAACCAATCCCGATTCCTGAGAGCCCTCTCATCTAATAGCGTGTCTGACCTCCAAGTGTAGGTGGCAGTGATCTTTATATTCCAACTCAATGTGGGGAGTTGATTCGGGACCACAGGGCGAGGCTCATTCATTTAACTCTTTACTCTCCTTCCCCGAAGGGACTTCCTCGCCCAAAGAGCGCAGGAACTGCAACACAGATGCGACAAAGCGCCAGCTGGACGCGCATTATCCAGTCCTGGTGGGATCGAAACTTGGGCAAAGGAGGCTCCGCCCCCCCCGACCCCAGACCAGAACACCCCACCACCCCCCCCCCCCCCCCCCGCCCCCCCCCCCCCCCCCGCCCCCCGCCATATTGGGTGTGGGCGGAAGTTTTCCGAAGCCGTGGGGATAAAAAGGGGGTCGCTGTGTCCCTTTAACTGGGAGAACTGGCCAACGGCTAGACTCCCTTCCGGTGCGTGCAATAGCCACGAAGGGGTGGTTCTCGTTGGAAGTTTAAAAGTTTCCGCCTCCCCCACCCCAACTTCCGGAAGTGGCAACTTTTCCCTCTCTCCAGTACCAGGCTGGCGCCTGCGCTACCCCAACTTCCGGAAGCGGCAACTTTTCCCCCTTTCCCGTACCGGGCTGCCCTCCTGCGCCAAATTGCGAGCCGGGTTACATCGTGACTTGGCTGCAGCCCTATTATGTGAACTGGGAGCTCGTGGTCGCAACAAACGTGCTTTATAATAAAGCCCGCGCCTGTGCTACCGCATCTTCCGTCCTTCGTTTGGGGTTCCGCAAACCGGACTATTTCTGATAACTTTAAGCGACTCCTTTTACCCGTAAGGGAAACAGGCTCCGTCCAAGGACTGAGATCAAGAAGTCGAGGTGGCCAGCGGAGCCCGGCTGCTAGGCTTAGTGGTGAGGGAGCGGATCCTGGCCAGACCCCTGGGACCGCCAGGCCCTTATCTCTAATATGGTAATTGGGAGCTGCAGGCCAGCCGGCCGCCGGAATTCAGCGCTCTACAAACCATGCTGCGGCTCCCCCGGGGCGGGGGGTGGGGGGTCATTTGCTCCTATTTGGGTCAGTCCTTGTGAGCAGCTACTGTGTGACCGGCCTGGGGCCTGTGCTGCTCAGGGACCTGGCGGGGCACGCTGGGCGGGGCGACACAATCACTAGGGAACGGAGAAGCTTCTCATGGGGACCTGGAGCGGGGCCCAGAGCTCAGTTCAGAGATTTATTGGCGCCCCTATAGCCCAGGCCAGTGCTTTGCGCTGGATATGCAGATAAGTTGCGCCACAACCCTGCTTCCCGGAACATGGGAGGGGGCAGCCCCCACGGCAGTGCCTCAAGGAGTAGGTCAGACTTGAAGGTGAGTCTGTGTCTGGGACTGTCACTCTCAGCAAAGGGACATACCAGGATATTAGAAGTTAGCTTGTTTTTGAGGACCCCAGCCCAGAGTGTTTGGGAAAATGGAGGTCAGACAGTCAGCAGTAGGAGACATGGAATACAGAAAAGTGGCAGATCTGGGAACAGGACACAGACTGATGAAGGTGGCTTGGACAATGGTACGAATCTCAGACCTTAGGGAAACCCAACCCTGGCCACCCAGTTTCTCTGGCCTTCCTACCCAGTCTGTTTGCCTGCGGCCGTAACAAAAACAAAGCAAAGACTTCATTGGCAGGAGATAAGCCCAGATAAGAGGCTGCCTGCCTTCCTCTGGAGGGAGCAGTCAGTCCCCAACAGCCAGGAAGCAGGGAGAGGCCTTGAAGAAATGCCAGCCTGTCTCAGCCGCAGGGCCTGGCCCATTCTCTTGCCACAGGGTCTCTGGTGTTCCTGGCTGGTCTCAGGCTTAGAGCAGGTCCTCCAGGCTGGTGAAGACCATCTAGCACAGGGCCAGCATGCAGGCCATCCTGCCTCCTGGTAGGTCTCCACTCAACTATGGCCCAGTACACGAAGCTTCCATTCAGGGCCTGTTTCCATATCTGTAAAACAGGCAAAACATCTCCCTCACAGGGGTGAGGGGGCCACAGGGTATCCACAGAGTATCGTAGCCCCTGCCAGCAACAACCCTTAAGACTGCCAGCTTCCCAGCTGGACAGTGCTGGCACACACCTTTAATCCCAGCACTGGGAGGGCAGAGGCAGGCGGATCTCCGAGTTAGAGACCAGCCTGATCTACAAGAGCTAGTTCCAGGACAGCCTCCAAAGCCACAGAGAAACTCTGTCTGGAATAAACAGGAAAAAAAAAAAAAAAAAAAGACTGCCAGCTTCCAATATCCTAAGCGCCATGGACCCCTTCCCAATCTGACAACTCAGCTCCAACCAGCCACTCTATCTATCCCTGTATGGTGCCCTCAGTAGCCCTAGCAGAAGATACTGGGTGCCTGGGTCCTATCAGGCAACAGGAAGGAGGGCAAGGAAGGCTCCCTGAAACAGGGTCTGAGCCTGAACAAAGAGACAGGGAAGATCTAAGGGAGAAGAGGCTAAATGGGCTAGGGAACCTAAGGGCTCAGGGCAGAAGTAGAAAGCTCAGAGCAACCCTGACAGGGAATAAGGTCACCAAAGACCTTGGGCAAGGCAGCTAAGTTCAAACCTTGAAACTTTTTGCTAGGAGTCTGACTACAATGGCACAAGCCCATTTTACAAATGAGGAAACTGAGGCGCCAGAGAAAATGGCAGTACCAGATCTGGAGCCTGGAATGTTTTCATCCACACCACACTGTACACAGGGTCCCTGAAGTCCACTTTTATTCATGTAAAAAAATCTCCAAGTATAAAGGGTTGCCTCTACTTCCCAGAGCTCCAGGGTTTCATCTACTGCTCCTTGGGAGTGGGGGAATACCCATCTTGGGTAAGTGCTATGGGGTACAAGCCCCAGCCTTTTTCCTAGGCCTGAGGTTAGAAGGAGAGGCTGAGGACTGGAGTCCCCAAGAAAATGGAGTTAGTGTGAGGCAGTGAGGCATTTGTCTCAGATTTTAAAAAAATAAAATTTCTAAAGGTAAAAGGTTAAAAAAAAAAAAAAGCAGTAGTGTCTTCTACCCACTGCCCAGAGCCCACCCCAGTCCAGTGGCCACCTCTTGCTCAGCCAGTTTAGAGCTGGGTGTTCTCCTCCTGGCTCTCCGAGTCAGCGCTGGACAGGTGCCCACCACTCCCAGGTGCATGACCATTGCTGGCACAAGCCACCAGGGGGCCATCTCCCAGCCCCTCTGATGTCTCGCCCAGCAGACATCGACGGATCTCCTGGGGCAACCTGTCACGATGTTCCTGACACTCCTGGGTCAGCTGGGCCAGCAACTGCAAAAGGATGAGTGTCCCAGAGGGCCCAGGCTGCCCAGCTCCTGTACTACCCACCTGTCTTCCTCCTCCCAGGCCTCACCTTGGGCTCCTCTTCCGCTAGCTGCTGGAGGACTTGCTGCTGCCCTGCCATGAGGCGCTCATGGCGCTGCTTCTGGGCCTCTTCCAGCTGCAAGGGAGGGCAAAAGTTCAGCTGAGGGAGGGGTGAGACCTGGGGGCACCAGGGGGGGAGGCGATCAGGGCCCCCAAGGACACCGAAGGCGTTAGATGGGATGCAGGCACCGGAGGCTGCTGGTACAGTCCCTGGAGGAAAGGCATTAGGAGCCTTTGGAGAGCAGTGTGGCACCAGGCCAGGCATGGAAGAGCTGAGCTTTTGATGAGTGAAGGAAGAAAGGTGGGGCTCACTCACCCGTCGGATAGAGTTGACTGACTCAGTGATATGCCGCCGATTAATCTCTGTTAGTTCCCTGCAGAGGTGAAAGGGATGGCTCAGTGCCCAGGCCCCCTCCATGCCTTCCCTCACTCAATGGCTCCCAGGCCCAATACACTTACACCTCCTTCTTATGTTTCTCTCTTGTCTTGGCCTCTGAGATACTGTTGTTGCGTTTCCTGTCCAGGATCTTTTGAAGCTCCTTCTTCTCCCTGGAGCAGCAAGGAGGGACAGGAGGGGGTCAGAGGCAGGACTCCTGGCACCAGAGTTCCACCGCACTCACACAGGACCTTGTCTTTACCTTTCATTCAGTTCCTTCAGTCTCTTCAACTGTGTTGTGTGTGCATCCAGGACAACCTCCCTGAGCCGCTGCTGAGCCTGGGGACACAGGCAGCCAGCCAGCAGGTAACACAGGGCTGACAGGTCTACCCAGGGAGCTGGTTCTCCTTGCCTACTCCACAGGCCCCTCTCACCTGTCTCAGGTGCTCCAGCCTCCGTTCAGTTTCTGCATCTGCCTGGGCCTGTCTCAGCTCCAGCAGGCTCTGGACCTGTTGGTTCTGGAACTCTCGATGCTGCTTGGCCTCCCCTTCCTCCTCCTTAACGTCCTCCGCATTAGTGGCTCTGCCTCTGTAGGAGAACCCTCTCAATCATGCCAGGTCCCTGGGCTAGGACAGTTAGAGCAGGGCTCATGCCAGCAGGCAGTGGCAGCCAACAGCCAGGTGAGGTCTGCTATGCAAATCAAGAGGATCAGCAGGGGCCAGCAGCTGTACCGTTAGCTCCATACAGGTTCCTGCTTCTTGGCATCGGACTTTGAGGAGGTCTTACTCCCAGGGAAGAGTGAGGACCAGTATGGGAACCTACCTCCCCCTTCCTGTCATTCAAGCATGCTACCCAGGATGGAGAGCCACACATACACCTCCCTCCAATATTCCTGTCAGCATACAACACGGGGCAACAGGCTGCAGGGTACTCACAGGGCACTGGAGGAGGACCGGCACCTGCTTTCAACCCTGGCCTGAGCCAAGCCATCCAGACGGCGGGTAAGGGCCATGGCCTTGCGCTGATGCTTTTTATGCAGCTCCCTCAGGTCTCGTTCCTGCCGGCTCCGAAGCTTCACCATAGCCTTGTGGTTTCGGAGCTCCTCCAGAGGGGTAGGGGTCACCTCTGCAAGAGAGAGGTGTTGGTAGCTAGCAAAGGAGGCAGGGTAGCAGGTGAGGTAGGTTGGGCATGGCTGAGCTGGGTGGGGTAGAAGCCCTCCCGGTGGCCCTACCCCAGATCAGGCTATGCCCTTCCTTACCAGAGAGGATGCTGGCAATCAAATCATCTCGCTGCCCTGGAGATCAGAGGCTTTAGTGAGAAGCTGGGGAGTCCAGCAACAGACGGCTCCCCTTAGCCCACTCCTAGGACAGGCTTCCCCTTACCTGGGCTGCTGAGGGAGGTGCTAGTGGGGGAGGTGGTAGGACCTTGGGGCCACCGAGGTGAGGCATCTAGTGGGTTAGGTGTGGGGTTGGGCAAGAGCTGTGACCCTGGCTGTTGAGACTGCGTCTCCTGATATGTCTCTGTACTGGCCTGAGCCTGCAAGAGAGAAAACTCTTTGTAAAAATGTTTTCTCCATCTCAGGGCCCATCCACCTCTGGATGCCACATGCTCCTATCAGCTCCCTCAGCCTGCACGATGAAGAGGTGCCCCTCGACCCTCATACACGCCAGCCAGGAAGGCTGTGTGTTACCAGATCATTGCATGTCCTCGACAACTCCCAGACGATTCTGGAAAAGTCTGGCCTGGCCCCAAGAGTCCTCCTCTGTGTCCCTCCCACCCTTGCCTGGTGGTTTGTCCTCCTCCTGGATGCTCAGCTCCTGATTTAATCAGCAAAGGAAGCAATGGCAGAGCGGGCACCAGTCTCTTCGACTAACAGCTCCTCGCAGCCCTAATTGCAATCATTTCTTTCCTGGCTGCCACAGGCCCCATGGGGACCGGGTCAGGACATGTGGCTGAACCTCTGCTCTTGGCACCTCCCCACTGAAGCCACTACCTCCTCATGGCTTCCCTGCCTTCCAGTGCCCCAGCGTGTGCACAGCCAAGCTTTTTACTCCACCTAGAGCTTGAGAAACCCTAGTCTAGACACAAATCACTGCAAATGAGTACGTCCTCTTCCAAGAGTCTACAGCTGAGCTGAGGCCATTGGTAGAGCATTTGCCTGGCCTGCTTACAAACCTGGGCTCCATCCCTATCCAGCACTGGAGGATAGGAGGTAAGGGGTTAGAAAACTGACTGACTAGTAAAGTGCTTGCCATATAAGCAATGAGGACCTGCAGTCAGATCTCCTCGTGTCTATAACCCCAGTGCCAGGGTGGGCAAAGATAGGCAGATCCTTGGAGTTCATTGACCAGCCAGTCTGGTTCAATAAGAGACCCTATCTGAGAAAATAAGGTGGAAAACCACATGTACGTGAGCACATACAAAAATGTTTATACACAAAAGCAAAATCCCATAGCCCTTATGCCCACTGCAAGCCATCTAAAGCTCCTGATAATGCAACAGGGTAGGAAGGTCAAGCTTTAGGGACAAAAAATAGGCTGGAAGCCCAGGCAGGCTGCATGGAGCTGAGCCACTTAGCCCCAGTGTCCCATCTCTGTGAGGGACA